TTACAGCTAACATGAGTGAATGACAGGCAAACTAGACTTCTGATTATTTGACTTAAATTTTAGAATCTTTCTGCTAGGAAATAAGAACACATCCAAAACAACATGCAATTTGAAAGAAAAACACAAGCAAAATAAAACAGAATTAAAACAGAGTGCACTCATCTTTTTCCAAGCCCTAAACTCTCTTGCACTTCATGGCGTCGGCTCGGTAGGGGGACGAGCCCGCCGCTCATCCGCCTCAATAGCCATGATTTTGTATTGATTGACGACCAGAAACAGCAGCAGAAGACGAGTCCCGACCGCCAAAGCGCTGCATCACTGGTCACGATCGAAATCGATCGATGGTCGCTCTTCGTCAATGACAAAAGCGGAAGAACAAAACCCTAGAGTGGGAGAGACCACTTTTATTTTCGTTGTTCTTCTCTTAATTATAAAACGCAGTGCGCGATTGCTTCTACTTTAAAAAAGTGATTTTTTAAAGTGATTTTGTAGAAAATGCTTAGAGCCCGTTTGGTAGCACGTAAATCGGCTGTTTTGGCTGATTCTGCTGAAATTTGGCTGGAGTGGCAGCATTGGCTGATTCTGCTGATTTAACAAAAAAAAAATTAAAATATATTTTATTAATAAAATAAAGAAAAAATTATATGTAAAAATAGCTAAAATGGTCATCTACAGTAACTTCAACCAATATAGCCCAAAAAGAAACTCCAACATTACTTTTTCTGCTTATTACACAATTCGGCGCGCAAAAGCAAAAATTACGTGTTTGGTGAAAAAATGGCTTATAAGCCTGATAAGCTGAAAAATAGTGTTACCAAACGGCCTCTTAATAGTAAAAGTTGATAGGGTTTGTAAAGAAAACTGTTCTGAAAAAGTAAAAGTTGATAGTGTTTGATAATATAAATGTTTTTTGTGTAATAGAAAAAGTGAAATGCAGTTTAAACTTTAAAGCATTACTCCACTTGTTTCCAGCTTTTAGCTTTTAAGTGTTTAATTTAAGCAGAAGTTGTCATTCGAAAACATTTATTTCAACTATTTTTAAGTAAAAAACTGAAAAACACTTTTTAAAATTTATTGAAAACACTTGAATCCCTAAATAAATATTGTAAAAGTTGGGCTGACTTTCCAGCGTTCAATAGTTAAGTGCGCGTTTGATAATACCCAAGTCGGGTGTATTGACTAATTCTGTTGAAATTTATGAACGTCTTGTTGAAATGACTGAATTGGTTGATTCTGCTGATTTATGGAAGAATTATGTTCAAAATATATTTTATTGATATTATAAAGAAAAAACTATATTCGAAATGCAACTGTGTATTTGCTTATTGAATTTTGGTTGTATTCTTTTATTAAATACTCCGTATGATTCATTAATTGATTTTGTTTGTGTTATCTAAATATTGAATTTGAAGATTATCGATATTCTACCTCCGTCCCAAAAAACTTTGTCATTTCATAAAGTTTGAATCACGATTTTGATTAAAATAATAGAAGTTATAAATTTTATACTTTTATGAAAGTACTTTTAACAAAGAACAATTTCATATAATTTTTATATTATAAAATAATTTTTTAAATAAAAAGATATAATTATCAAAATTTTGAAAATGACAAAGTTTTTTTTGGGACGGAGGTAGTATTTCAAATATTGAATTAGGTTAGTGTCTTTTTCTAGGGATTTCTGAATCATTTGGCATCTCTGCTATATTTAAAAAAAAAATACATCAGTAGGGGTGGCAGCAGGTCGGATTTTCACCGGGTGGAGGCTCATCCACGTCCACCCGTTAATTTTTTATACTCCATCCATCCGTCCATCATCCATTAAAAATTACATCCACATCCAACCCATCCATCTTGAACGGGTTATCGGGTGGATCGGGTGAGTAGCGGGTGAAATATAAATGGTCAAACTTGACACACAAAAAATAAATTACAAAGAGAAATAATGACAATTAAAAACCAAAAATTAAGAATTCATTATAAAATAACAAAAAAATGAGCAATTAACTATATTACAATCATTAGTTTAGTGCCGATGATAAAGAAAGAACTGAATGTTAAATAAAATAGACATAAAACTTCTTCAAGTTGTTAAATTCTACATTTATGCATCGGCACAAAACTATTTTGGCTATTCAACTGCCACTTCTTGAAGCTCTCTAATCATCTTTGTTTCACCAATTAACTATTATTATTATATATTACTAAATAGATATAATATATTATATATTACGGAGTATATATTTATATGCGGGTCAGCGGGTGAGTGGATGGAACGGGTGACGGGTCGGGTGATGCATGGGTTGGATGAACCTTCATCCACACCCGATCCATCCCGTCTTTCGATCCACCCGTCATCCATTTTTCATCCATACTTCTTCGGGTTTTCATCCATATTTTTGGTTCGGGTTGACCGGGTATCCGCGGGTGCAGGTGATATTGCCAGCCCTATACATCAGGGATACCAAATGATTCAGAAACGCGAAGAAAAAGACATTAAGGTATTTAAACGACCTCTAAATCTCTAATGCTCATTTCCAGATAGAAAATTTTCCGGTTCGTAATATGTAGAGATATTACCCAAAATGGGACTAAAAAAGTTTGGAAATTCCAAAATGGGACTTCCATGTTTTTATTCCCAAAATAGGACTAATTACTGTCATGTTTTGGCAGTACCAGACTTCAAACATGGCAGTATTTTCCAAATTTGGCAGTAATTAGTCCTATTTTGGGAATAAAAACATGACAGTCCTATTTTGGAATTTTCAAACCTTTTTAGTCCCATTTCGGGAACTTTCCCTAATATGTATTGGATTTAATGAGCATACCTGATGTATTATAATGACCTCAAACGCTCCTGATTTTGTTGGTTTTTGGTTGTAACTCATATTAAATCTCTAAAAATTTAATACACTTTGAAATATAGTGAAATGCCGATTGATGTTAGCAGATACACTTATGCTTTTAAAATAGGGAAAATAGAAACTAATAATCCAACCTTTTAGCGGTCTTCTTACAATAGTCTCACTTTTGTGTTATTCAAGAATAATCCAACCTTTGCACCTCATCTTCATTCGCTGATCCCTGACCGGTTAATGACCTGTTATTCAAAGTTATTTTCTTATCTTTTCAAAATATTATCATTGTGAAAGGTGAGATTTATGGTATAATGGTTTGCAAAGATAAGAAAATAACTTGGAATAACAGGTCATTAACCGGCCAGGGACCAGTGAATGAAGATGAGGTGCAAAGGTTGGATTATTCATGAATAACGAAAATGTGGGACTATTGTAAGAAGACCGCTAAAATGTTGGATTATTAGTTTCCATTTTTCCTTGTTATTTTTCATATCTTTCTTTTTCTCTTTTTTTTATTTGTTTTTTTTATAAATACAACGAAGAAGAAACACTATATGTACAATGAAGAGTCTTCTTCCCCCTTGTTAAACCGAGCATTGTCCCTAGTGCTCGTCATTGTCATTGCCAAGGTTATTTTTTTTCTTTTTTTTTTGTTTCTTTTATTTTTCCTAGAAAATTGGGGATTTTGGAGAGGAAGGTTGGGAGTTTTCAAGAATTACGTGGAGCAAGAGTAAAGTGATGGGAGCAAGATTGTGATTTTTTTGTGGTGTTTGGTGGATGATTTGGGTATATTGTTGCAGAAAGAAAGATATGATCATGTGGTTTGCGGTGATTAGGGCGGAGTTGTATGGTGTTTTGGAAGATTAAACATGAAAAGTGATGAAGAGGAGGCTGCTAGGAAAGAATATCAAACACACAATGACGTACCTTGCTTGGGTTGACTCCCAAGAAGCACCTTATTTAACGTCGTGACACGACACCATCACTGTGTTCAGTCGTTCAAGCTTGGATCGTGATAATTTATCTTCTTCACATTTTCACTCCTAGAACTTTTATAGAAATTCTCAATTTTCGAAGCCTTTATTTTGAAAATCTTTCTAGGATCAAATATCCAGATTTCCATTGATTCATGTGGTGAGAGTGAGGGAAAGAAATTATCATTTACCGTTGATTAAAAGGGAAAATGAAAAAGTTCCCGAGACAACAAAAAAGGAAAAATAATAAAATTCTCAGGAACGGAAGAAGTAACGTTTTACAAATATCAATTTATAATCGGTTTTGATTATCATAATAGACATTCATTCCATTTAAATTCGTGATTATATAAATAGATAGAGGAATGATCATGTCTAGCCGGAGGGACAGGATCCTCCGTCCGGCCGCTGCCGTTTGGGGCGGTTCCCAGTGGAGTTTTTTGATGAAATGTTTATGGAATGTTCCTCATCAAGTCTAGTTTATCCTAAAAAAATTTCAGCTAAAAATTCGATCGGGAAGACAGTCAAATAATTTGTTGAAGATAACTGCGCCAAATTAAACATATAAAACACAGTTATGTTTCAAAAAATTATTTGACCGCCTTCCCGATCGAATTTTTAGTTGAATTTTTTTGTCGATAAACTAGACTTGATGAGGAACATTCCATAAAATTTTTATCAAAAACTCCACTGGAAATCGCCCCAAACGGCGGCGGCCAGAGGACCCTGTCCCTCCGACTGGACATGATCTTTTCCGCTATAACTCACATTCTCTATAGGTATTTCTTAACACTTATCAAGAAAAAGTAAACAGTCCCTAAGAATGCATATGGTGAACAATATTTTCATTTGGGGAAATCGCACTTTTAGTCACTGAAATAGTCACCAAAATGAAATGTCAGACTCATATTTTTGAGATTGTAAATGTCACCCCTCAATTGTCCAAAAAGTTGTAAATGTGGTCCTTTAAGTGGTGAAATGTACTCTCACCCACATTATATATTTCACCCCTCAAAGGACCATATTTACAACATTTTGAACAATTGAAGAATAACATGTACAAACTTGGGAATACAGGTCAAACATTTCAATTTCATAACTATTTGAGAGTCCAAAAGTAAGATTTTACTGCTCATTGTCTTGTAAGATTTGTTTTTCCCATTTCCGTTTTGTGTTTAGTACCCGACTCCCCGGTAAAAGAAAAACAGCTCCGAGGCACACTGCCTTGACGGCTTATATACCCACAATTTTTCTGCGCTCACAAGTGTGCATGGAGGGAGGAAGAGGGAGTAAGAGGACGGGGGGCATCACTCTTAACTGGGACGTCTTATTACCCGAACGCGAAGACGAACCCCCACCGGAGCTGGTTGTAACCTCTACGGCAGCGCTAAAACCGCAATTGACGGTGATGGACGAGGATGAATGTCGGGACGACTTCAGGAAATTGTCGGATGAAGAGCTCAAGGTTAAGATTGCGAGAATGAATTGTATTCTATCTAACGGTGCCGCCAAAAATCTGGGTGATGGTGGTGAAAAGCTTAGATTACGTATCAACCGGCTCGAGGATGAACAGGAGCGGAGGAAACGTGAGCTCCAGCATAAGGTGATTTCGTGTGCGCTAAAGTTAGTTCATATGTTAGACTGGATAATGTGATAGGCCAGCTTTAAACTTATAGCTCTGTTTGATTACTCTCTATGGGGGAGGGTAAATTTCATAAACCCTACTTAGAATTGAATGTTCGTATTCAGTTACAGGTTAAATTTCCCTACAAGCTCTCTTGATCATCACAAAAGCACGAATTTATTGAACAGTTGATACCAAAATGTAACACTCATTCATGTGGTTTATTCAATTTTATGTACCTTTGAGTCTTTTGGCTTTGTTAAGTTGAAAATTGGGTGACGAGAATGGACTAATAATATGAAAGGAAGAAAGCTAATGTTCTAATTTAGTGCTGAGACAAATATATGTCTGTTTTACTTATACGACTCTTACATTATTATTGTTATTGTAGTTTCTAGTTTTACTTATATCACACATATATAATACAGAACAATGTGAGCCATCCTGAATAAAGATGCTCTTTCGTGTGGACATTTATTGGCTTATTGTTATGGAAAATAGGTAGTGAATATTAACCCCTCTAATGCCAGTATGCCACTGACAGTTTAAGGGAGTGTTTGAGATTGCTTCTACTTTAAAAAAGTGATTCTTTAAACTGATTTTGGAAAAAAAGTGTTTCTGAAAAAGTAAAAGCTGGTAGTGTTTGATAAAATAAGTGTTTTTTGTGTAATGGAAAAAGTGAAAAGCAGTTTAAAGCATCCTCAACCTGCTTCCAGCGTTTAGCTTTTAAGTGCTTAATTTAAGCAGAAGCTGTCACTTGAAAACACCTATTTCATTTTTTAAGCCAAACGTTGAAAAACACTTTTTAAAAGTTTTTGCAAATACTCCCTAAGTCATTCTCTAAGTTTTTTTTTTTTTTTAATTTAAGATGATTATGAATTAGATAAATAGGACTGACACTGTCATGATTCATGATGCTGGGGCATTCCAGAGTTAATGCTGCATTCAAGTCAACTCCTCACACACACACACACACTTGCAGATGTACTCTATGCATATACTGCTTCACATGTAAACAAAATTATTTTGGCCACAACAATCCATGGTTGTTAAACTTCCATAACTCATCTGTTTTCGGGAAACACCAGTTCTCTTTGGCCACAATGTGGCCCGTGACTGTGTGATTACCCTCAGCTTGAGCAAAACACCTAGAAGCCGGTCCATAGTGCGGGATAGCCTGTAAGACATGGTCCATCATAATAAGCTCATGACAGACCCCATATCTGGCCCATGGGAAGTCGTGGTCAACCCCTTTTCATAATTGTAATAGGTTTTATGTATTTACAATTTACAAGGTACATATTGGCATATTGTATTAGAGATACTACCATACTAGTATTGTAAGGAGTTGGGTTCCTTGACTTGGTTGAAACTGCATAATCCTAATTTCCTAATAGTTGTGGTGGTTCACTGGTTCTAGCACTTCTATGTATTGTAAATGGGAACTGCCATCTCCTTTAGGGGTATCTTATGTTTACTAAATGTGTCCAAAGCATTCCAACAATAACACATTTTTTTCATAACCATGCTCTTAGTTCTTTGCACCCTAGATAAAATGGTTTTAAGGAGTATAGGTTGGATTGTATTAGTTAACACCACGAACATAATCACAACACATCTATAGTTTGTCTGTATGCTAGGAAAAACACTACATCTATAGTTCTCCTTTATGTAAGGAAAAACACACAGGAGAGAATCTTATAAACATTTCTTCAAAATTGAGAATTTCAGTTATAGTAGATGCTCATTGAGTTCTAAACTGAATACCTGAAGGTAATCATAACATGAGTTAGCCTAGGTTGCCATTTTAATGTATATTCTTGTACAAATAAGTTTAATATGGTTGATAGTGTTCGAGCTTATCTCTAACCAAGTTTTTTTCTTTGGTAGGACATCGATGAAGGAAAAGAGCATACTCACAACTCTGCAGGTGAAATTTCATATAACTTCTGAAAACATTTCGGATATTATCCTTTTGCCTTACCTTTGTATGGCTCAAAATATGGAAATGGGCGGAAGGATAAATGGTGGTGGTGGGAGGATGGTGGTGGTGGGAGGGGGTATGGAAAATGAAAGAGTTGAAAAAAGATGCTATGTTTGGTGTATGCTTGTTAGGGAACCTCAACCAAACAGTAAAATTGGCGTATATTAGAGAAAGAAGATAACAAAAAGGAAAGAAATACAGGTGAGACACTTCGAGCAGTCCTCTCTCCCAAGTGTAAGGATGTTTTTACTTGGACTGTAATTTGTCTCAGACCAGACTTGGATAGTTATAAAAATACAAAGAGACCAGACATTACCAGACCAGACCAACAAATATTCTTATTATTAGTCTCCTCCGCCCATGATCCTATCATATCCCCCCTTGGACAAACACCTTGTCCTCAAGGTGGGTGGTATGAAATAGCTTTGACCTTCCGCTTGATCTTCATCCTTGCGCCTCTTCCTTCCCAATACCTACTTGATTTCTGATCTAGGAGCTTCACTTCTTTCACTTTCATCATCACTTCCTCCTTCATATGGATTAGTTTCTGAAGAAATCGCAATGCAGCTTTGACCATGTCAAGTGGTGTTCATGGCTGGCCTTGACAGAAGTTTAACAAAGTCCATGTAGTGTTTCTCAACATAGAAAGCTTTTCCTATGTATAAAGAACCGGACCGGGAGGCGACTCGGACAAGTTACCAGCTCAAGGGTCAACCCGGACCCGGAGGGTCAACCCGGACCCGGAGGGTCAACCCGGTCAAGACCGGTTAACCCGGTCAACGCTATATATATTCTTTAACAATATAGTTAAATTTGTAAATGAAACAACATTTTCCTTCCTAATTAAAATACATTTATTTCCTATGTAGTACATAATTATTAATTTATTTAACTAAATCATGAATGCATTTCAAATTAGAGGAGCAAAAAAATAAACATAACATTAATTACAAAGTTATAAAATTATTGTATAGATATGTTCTTTACTTATATTTGGACTATATAATACATATTCTAATCGTTCTTCGCACATGATAACCATGGTGTGTATACTTAGTTTTCATTTTAATATTTATTAATCAATGAAAGTAGCATGAAGATGTAAGGATACTAAAACAAAGAATAATAATCGATGGGATGCGTTGATTTCCAACTGGCTGCAGTGGGTGGGATGGTATATGGCCGCTATGCCTAGCATGAGGTAGGAGGTTCGAAGTCTCTGCATGGATGAATTTCTTCATGCAGGCCGGTTTTACCGGGTACCCGGTTTTAAGCTTTCCGGCCCGGGTGCAGGTTTAAGCCGGTTTACCGGTTATTTCCGGTTTTGACTATATTTCCGGGTTGGAGTCTGGCCGGACTGGATTTAGTGCCGGTTCACCGGGTTCCAGGCTGACCCGGCCGGTCCGGTTCTTTAAACATAGAGCTTTTCAGGCTCATACAACTGTCCTAGCAATGCTAAGAGTGCACCAGGACCGCTAACCAGGTCTCTACAGGCCGGAGCATCACCAGCAGAACCAAATAATGTTGGAGAGGATGCAAGAGCTGCATGCCTTGCTTCAGCATGAGCCTGCCATTTGCCTCCCAAACAACCTTCACCAATTCCAGTAACATTCCAGAAAGCTATAGCCGGTTTATGCATAATGTCAAGCCCAATAGATGCAGTGAATTTTTCTTCAAAGGAAACCTATCCACTAAGTGTATTGGCTTTTGCTACCCCACAGAATCTTCCCCTCTCAAAATCCTTACCTAATAGGCTTGGATTCATACTGGCAGAATCAATATCTATTGATAATAAAGTTCTATCTCTTTCAGTGGAAGGGCAATCACCTGAAACACCTCCTGAATGATGGGAATTTTGTTTTACTTGAAACTGCATAGGCTTTTGTCATTTCAAATGCATGTTCGCCAAATAGTTTTAGACTGATGCAGTGTCCACAATGTATAGGCTTTTATCATTTCAAACCACCTTGTTTCAAATGTCTTTCCACATAAGTCCTTGCATCTTATTGAACTAACTATCTGTGGTTCATGTACGTATGGGCTTTTATCATTTCAAACCACCTTGTTTCAAATGTCTTTCGATATAAGTCTTTAGGATGTTCGTTCCCAGATTACAAAATTAGCTTCCGTTTGATTTTTGCAATTATGGGCATGAATGCTGACAGGAACCCACTTATTAGACTAATAATAGAAGTAATAATAATAATATTAGTAATAAGGGTCTGTGAGTTTGCTAGTATAAATAGACGGGAAGGGGGAGTAATAAGGAGGCTTTTGGGACTTTTGGACTGGGACTGGGAAAGATTAGAGAGTTATTCTCTTTTTTTTTTGGGAGGCTTCGGCCTTTGTTTCTGTTTCTCTCTGTAACCGATCTTCTTCATCAAATAAGAATTCAGTTTGATTTTCTTGTTAATCTACTGTAATTGTTCTGTACTGGTGAGGTCCTATCAAATGCACAATATACAAATATGCAACATGCACACATATACAAAGCATAAAGACTATTTGAAACTGATCATTGATGGGGATATTTACTTTGTTCACATATTCACTCATTTTGAGAGGGCAAGGATAAAAGAAAAATGTAACCGTGAAAGTGTGCAGGTGTATCTACTGGCTTCAAGCAATCAGCTCCATCATCTTCCACTCCACCTTCACAATCTTCATTTGCTTCCCGTTTTACAAAGAACATAAAAACAACAGTAAATTCTTATTCTCGAGTCTTGTCTATCTCACCCGTAATGTGGATGGTTGTAACTTTTTTTTACAGCTTAAGTTTCCCTAATTAATTTTTGTGCATTGATAATCAGGGAAACCATATTGCCTTTGAACAAGAAATGTATACTATGAATCCCTGTGTCAATAGAGAGACACGCAAAAGGCAGATTTCACCAAGGAGAAGACAAGAGAGAGGGCTCTCTTCTCGTAAAGCACATAGTCTGCAGCTATCAAATGCTGGTTCAAAAAGAAGTATTTCTTCTGCTACTTCACTCTCTGAGGGACTCTTCTATGGCAGTGTTACAAAGTATATTAGTCCTTCATGCCCCATTTTTCTTCTTCTCAGTCTGTTATAAGATGTGATTTGGTCGTTCCATGTGTCATTTTTTACAAGAGTGTCCTCTTTACCCCTAGTGCTTAGCTCAGTCTTTTGCTGTATGCTCTAAACATGACGTGTTCGGTTCTCTCAGGAAAAATTCTTCTGATGTCCAATGCTCAGATGGTCCAAGCTGTAAAAATGTATGATTTTCGACGCACTAGCTCCCTATTTGTGTGTTTCTTATCATGAAAGATGTATGTTTTTTGGGATTTTACCCTTGCATGTCCTTTGGGATTTTAACCACAAATTGTTAGCCGACCCCAAATTCTTTTGGGAATAAGGCTTGCATGCTGTTGCTGTTGTATCTAAGCTGGATAAATAAAATGGCTTTTATGCTATGTTTGGTTTTCTCCTATAGTCTTACTGTTTTTTTTCCAGATAAAGGAATGTTGTGGTAGATTGACGGCATCATAAAACCCAGTCACAACTATGGACATGAACCATCATGAAAATTTTGCAGGGTTGTTCCCTATTGAATGTCAGTGGATGGCCTCTGGATTTTATATTGGTTCATGTGTCTGACATTATTGAATTGCGAATAAAACTTGTTTATTGTTGTTTTCTTAATGTTTAATTAATTTATACGAAGTATGTTCTGAGCATTATATTTGGATTCAATTGCATTACCTTCTTGCAGGGTGAGACAGTTGTTCTTCTGGATGAAGAGGAGCATGAGGCTGAACAGATGGACCAATTAGACTTTATGGATGAATGGTATTGCGTTATACTCTTATTGCTGGGCCTTTTCAATCTCACCTTTAACATTTTAGTCTCCTAGTATGTGGTCTGCCAGGCAATCATTATTATTTTTCATTGTCATTTCAGCACAAAAGATATGAAGCTATACTATCCTTCTAGGTATGACATGCTCCCTTTTTGCAGATTTTTCTTCTTCAATGATATATATGTTGCAGATGATTTTTTTGCATCCTTGCATCTTGAATACTTACCTATAAGATGTTTTCCTTGGTGGTGGAGTAGAGATGACCCAGATCCAATTCAGCTTTGCTATTCAGACATGGATTGCCTTGCTCCTGAAGTTTATTTGTCATCAACTATGATGAACTTTTACATCAGGTAAAGTTGTTTAAAGTTTAGTTGAGATAGTTCAATCCATTGACTCATAAATTCTTGTTTATGCTTCATTCTCTTAATTTGACTGAAAGGTTTTTTTTTTCGGGTGGGTGGGTGGGTGGGTGGGGGGGGGGGGGGGGGGCGAGGAGGTGATGGCGGTGGTGAAAATGGATAGTATAAAAAATAAGCAACTCTTGCTTTATAGGAAGAATGTCTTCTTTTTAAATTATTGGTTTCAAATATGACATGATATTGGTAGGAGCCATCAATACAGTTGCATCAAGATCAATTGGCATTTATATGGATAAAGTAACGTCTTGGTGCCTTTCTGGCAATATAAACCAAAAGCACTTCATAGTACCATAACTTGAAATGTTTTCAGATTTGGGTGGAATTGAGGCAGGAATAGTTCCATTTAAACAATGGGGAAGTATGCAGAAATTGGACATTCAGGATGATCGAAAGTGACATAGTATTAGTGTATTACTTTGTGTTTGCAGAAATTAAAGAAATCGCTCCATATAGGATAAAACATAGACAAAGTGTATAAATAGGAGTAGGTATGTTTTATTGCTAAAGTAGGATTTATTTGGTTCTATTAAAAGCATAAAATTTTCCGGATTAGGAGTTGATGAGTCTTTCTTAGGAAGAAAATAATGCTGATCCTATTTGTGCACTTTGTCTACATTTTACTCCTATTTAAGGGATTTTCTCAAAATTTTACACTGCCATGCTCTAGGGCTAGAATATGCTGCCTGAAAACTACACTGCAGACTATAAGTTTGTGCAAGTTATTCTTTTTTACTTCAATCCTACTATTTTTTGTCTCTCTTTGGACATATGAATGAATGGAGGTGGGTGAGGCAACATTGATTATTGTAGGGAATAAACCTCATGGTACTGCACTCCCCTAATCACACTAACTGAGAATGTACAAAAGGAGCAGCTGCAAGCACTAGGTTACTTTGTCATTAACTTCAACTATCAAGGGCAAACCATTAGTTGTTGATCCTTCTGCTCATTGTTTCGGTCTTCAATCCAGAATGAATGCTTGACTGGGATATTTCCTAATTCAATGTATGCACTGCTACACAGTACACACACAATGACTTGCTTATGAAGTTATGATCAGGAGTGCATCAGTTTCTTTAACTAGAGCTGACAATACGTTTATTCCTTATACCTATATTTAGTTTAGCTACATCTTTCACTCAAATTATTGCTAAAAGAAAGTTGGGTGCCTTCTCTGATCATTTTATTTGGGTTGGACTAATTTAAACTCGAGATCATTTTTCCTAGTGCTCTAATCAAAACAGTATTTTTTCCTTTGTTGTTTGTTATGACTAGATATCTGCAGCAGACAAGGTCTCTACTAGATAATGGAGGATGCAACTATCATTTTTTCAATACATATTTTTATAGCAAGCTTAAAGAGGCTGTGCTGAAAAAGGTATATTATCTTTCATTCTTCCAACCCAGAATTTGGAGGAGAAATGACATTCAGATTTAGTCTTAGTACTTTAGACTTTTTATTAATCTATCTTCTATATTTATGTATAATCTTTAACTATGTGAGCGACATGGAACTTTATTTATTAGTTACTACTTCTGTCCCATTTTATGTCTTACTTTGGTTTGACACAATTATTCTTAGTGGTTGAAAAAGTAAAAGTTGTGGTTGAGATTTGAGTATAATAAAGTGAAATTTGATAGACCACTTATTTCTTTCCACAAAAAAGAAATGTGACACTTATTTTGGGGCAACCCAAAAAGGAAAGTAAGACAGGTAAAATGGGACAGAGGAAGTATTTGTAATACTAAATTTTGTTATTTGTGCAACGTTTTTTATAGATAGTAGTAGTATACCAGTTAATGTTTTTTGTTTTTTCAAAGGATATAACCTCTCATTATTGAAGGGATCTACATCCCACCCCCTTCCGAAGAGCATATATATCTGAACTTCTGTGTTAATGTTGTCTGTGCCATAAATTTTGAACTAATCCTTAATCAACTATGCTCAGTAATTTGAAAGATTGTTCGTCCTATTCCAGCCAAACTGGTGTTCACTGTATTGAACAACCACTTGGTTCTTTTTGTTAATCTTCCACAACATGCACACACAACAATGGCATTTAAGAATAACAAATGGAGTTTCTGACTCCTTAGACTGCATTAAGTAGTTCTCTTAATGCATAGCAGAGTTTAGTTAAGCAAAACAAGGAACTCCAACATAAATTTGATGGAAGCAACCTGTCTTTGAAAGAGGAATCAGAAGGAAAAAGTAGATTAAACACACATTGTAGATGTGTGTGCATGCTCGCATATGCACATGCTTATGTGCCATGTATATGTACATAAAGCCTTTAGATGCTCTTAAACACATATTTCTGAATAATAATATATATGTTTACATCAGAATGACAGGGAGTCTTCCTTTGTAAAGTTAAGAAGATGGTGGAAAGGCATAAATCTATTTGAGAAAGCATACATATTTTTACCAATTCATGAAAGGTGAGTTTTTTTAATTATTTGCAAAAGTTTCCTTTTTTCTTAAAATATATATTGTGGATTAATTATAAGCCATATATGAGGTGTGAGTATGTTCTGGCCAATGAGAGAAAATGAGAAGTATTCATCCTTACAGTATCGGAAAGGAACAATGCAAGAATGAAGACTATTTTTCATTGAGGTTGAGGTTTTGAAAAGCTAAAGCTATGTCTCTTTTCATGGATACATTTTCTCGGAAAGTGTTTTTTACTTTCCTGAAAAGATTTTCTTTTGTTCCGGCCCCGTAAGTATTTTCATTGATTCTTTTGTAGAAAATAACTTCCTGTTTTTTTTTTTTTTTTTTTTTTTTACCTGAAACAGTTTTATCTTCTCTGTTTTTGTGGATCAAACATTTTAAGCAACATGTTAATTTCATGTAGGAAAACAAAGACTAAAATGGCTTTCAAAATGTTTTGCTCCAGTCTCATGAGGTGTAAGCCTCTTCTAGGCGAAGCAAGGTGTAAGCTTTGTAAAATGTACAACTATAAAAGTTTATATAATTAATGCCATTTCAAACCTCAAGAAAATTTCTCAAATTTGTCCCGAAAACCATTGTTATTTTTTGAGCACGCCGCCATCAGGACCAGGCTATCCTAGATACCCTATTACACTCAACCCATTACCATCCCTTGATGAGGCGTGTGGAAACAAGGTTGGATGTACTTGGACCAGAGATCATCATACGATATTGTAATTTCATTCTATTTTGGTAGTAACATGGTTGCCCGAAAAAGCAAGAAACATGATATTGCCCAATCAAGTGCAAAAGCATAACTTTGATCAATGGCACTAGATACTATGAGAGTAAGAGCACGTGATCGAATTCGATTGAGGCAACTTCTTAATGAGTTGTTTTTTGCAAGTTTTAAGGCCTATGAGGGTCATTTTGATGATGATCAAGCAACATTTCGTATAGCATCCAATCCGTTCTTTCATGAGAGAACTATACAGATTGAAGGTGATTGTCATTTTTAGAGAATTTGAGAAGTAATCCCAAGTTTTTGCCTCATTTATGGGCTCAAATGACCAATTGGTATTTACCATTACCAAGCCTTGAGAAGGTTGATCTTGCAACTGTTGTACCTTGACAAAATCTAATAGTTTTTTCACCAAAAGAGTAATGCTTGTGATTGTTAAGTGTTTTCTTTCTTGTTTACATGTTATATTTTCATTGTTTTTACGAACTTTAATACTCCCTCCGTCCCCTTTTAAATGTCCCGGAAGAGGGTGGCACGAGTTTTAAGAAAAGTGGGTTTGTGTGGTTGATATTAATTGATAAAGTTAGAATAAAATAAGAATGATTTTGAGTCACAGAAACTTTACCAAATAAGGTATGAGACAATTAAATAGGGACATCCCAATATAGTAAAACGGGACATTTAAAAGGGGATGGAGGGAGTATTTGTTATTCGCTCTGTCCCAAAATAAACTCCTAATTCATTTTATGGCAAAGAATATGTGGTTCACAACATTTGTCTCGCCTTTCACAACTTTTGGCCACACAATTTCAACTTTCTTAATCTCCCTGCCAAGTCAACACCAAGTTAATTATAGGATGGAGTATTATTTCTGTTTTAAGGTGTCCTAGCTGGGCCTGCCCTGTTTTTATTTATTTATGGCTTGTGTGATTTTTCTTCCTGTGTCCAACATATCTTTTCTTATGTCCATACTTTTCAGTTGAGGCTTTTCAATATTGAAAATGTTATGTTTTGTGCTTCTTCATTAATCTTTTGAGAATCCTTCGTCTTGCCTTTTCAGTCTTCACTGGAGCTTGGTAATTATCTGCATACCAGATAAGGAGGATGAATGTGGACCCATCATACTTCATTTAGATTCATTAACGTTGCATTATAGCAAGCCAATTTTCAGTAACACTAAGAGGTTGGCGTTTGTTTAAAAGCAGTTTAAATACTTTAAGCATAACACTGTAAGAAATTGGGTTTAAGTATCTGTGGTTCAAGTATTTCTGTCATTTATATTTGAACTCCATGCAAGTAAAAACAGCACTGTGCCTATGTTTTGGCATGTCGATGGAGTGCACATATATTTCTTGGTTTCTTTGGATACAGTTAGTGCTCTAGTGTACGGATGCATGATATCACCCCAATGTATTCTTCAAATCTTTTGTTGCTTGAAATGTTCTGCCTAGCTGCATAATTTTGTGCATGTGCAAGGGCGTATAATAGTGTTGGTGTCAATTGTGAAACGAAACACAGCTCAATAAAATAACTAGCCATGTGATTAAAGAAATATGTTTTTAGGGGTGCTTAAAATGGATACTGCATTCCTAGATTAGACTTTTTTAATGTTCCTTTTTTTGGTTGGAGACATGAAGGATGAAAGATGGTTGTCATTTACATGAATATTAATTTTTTTTACAATCTTAAACCCCACAAAAAAATGAAAGTTGGTTGTCATTTACATTGTCAGAGCATATACATCTCATATCTTCCTTATCTATTGAGCATGATCATCAGAGGATCTAGAACATTGATCAGTGAAGTCTCTAACTTACGCATTTGTTGATTAATTAGGGCCTAATTCATTAATGGTCTTGATCTGATATCATGAGAGGTTTGAAATAGTTGAGCATTACTATTTAAATGGAAACCAAGTCTTGATCAGCCAAGTCCCTAACTTACACTTTCATTTAAGTGTGATTTTTTAAAATGGAAACCATTCTCATATTCTGTGATCCTATGGTATTTTTCTGTCCAAATTGGAATTCGATAAATGTGAGATATCCAGTTCTCAAAGAATTTCCTATAATGGATTTCCTTTTGATACCATAAGCTTGTTTAGTTTTGGTTGAGTTGTCAACTTTTTCCTGCAGATTTTTAGTAGAAGAGTGGAAAATCTTGAAAGATGAAGGACAATGTTTACCCATTGCAGATAACGTATGGAATATGCTCCCTTCTAGGATTGAGAACGAAGAAATTGAGGTAAAATATTATCCCCACCTGAAACCCAGTGTGCAATTGTCATTTCTTCTCTACCAAAAATCTCATCAGAGAAGTCATATATCGGATTAGTATTGCATGGCATCATTAATAATTGTGGAAAACATTCATTTGAACTTTGAAGTTTTCTTTTTTGACTGCATGGTCCTTTAACCTTTTCTCCCTTTTACACATTTTTATGTGGTGAATGGTGATAGGTTCCTCAACAAAAGAATGACTATGACTGCGGTCCTTTTGTGCTTTTCTTTATTGAACGATTCATCCGTGAAGTTCCTGAAAGACTGAAAAGGAAGGATCTAACGATGGTACTTTTTCTGTCCTCTTTTTGTGAAAATGGATATAGCCATAATGAAAGTCATGTCTTATGTAAATCTTCCCTTGAAGTTTCACATGTTTCCTGAATATCCCCTTTTACTTAACTTTCACACTCATTGCCATTAATTTTTTCCTCCCAGTTTGGAAAGGATTGGTTTAAGCCTCAAGAAGCTTCTAAGTTGAGGCGAAGACTCAAAAGCTTACTTGCGGAGGAATTCAGAAAAGCTGCTAAGGAACTGAAGAAACAAGAATGCGAAGCCATTGTCTAACATTCTTTGGATCCTAAGCCTCTTCCCATCTACAAACAGGTTTTAACACTGGTAGATAATCGGTAGCTGGTCGTGGACATGTGGTTTGCCTTGGATGGCAACACCATGGATACACTAATAAACTGGAGACTTTTGGAGTTGCTGTATATAGGACTGACATTTTTGGACCATAAACGGCAAAGAATTGGAATATATGCCGTCTGTCCATTCCTTGAAGGTAAATATAACTGAGATATGAAGGGGGTCTAGTTGTGATCACTTATCAGTATATGCTCTCTTTTAGTCGAATAGCTGACTAGGCCATTGTTTAACACCCAAGCATCCTTTTTATGGACGTTTGTTTACTATTGGACATATGTATGATTCGTTTTTCGGACAATCTAGTTGTATACTTGTATATGCTAAATCTGCCGATTGATGGGAAATTATTGCAATCTTGTGAAAGTTTTTACTGACTATGAAAGTGTTTTTATAATACCATGAAGGCATGAAGTATGAAAACCATTTTGCAAATCTTTGCATTTTCTGAAATTTAAAAATTAGGATTGACTTCAGGTCTTTGCACCCTAACCCAAGTAAATTGGAATGGGGAATGTAAAATATACAATGCCATTTAGTTGTTCAAGATTTGTTCTCTGCAAGTTCATGCAAAAAAACACTGCCAGTGGTTCACGTTCTCTATCATTTGTGTTGCAACTTTCTAAGAATAATAGCATAACATTGCAAAACTATCATCGCATTTTTTGTTTATTGTTTCTGATTGCATGACAAATGTCATGTGCTGATTATAGGAGACAGTATCTTGAGATTTTTGCCACGCAATTTCTGACATTGAGAAAAAGTTGTTTATTCTCGTATACATAGTTGCATTTTTATTACTCGTAATAAAAAATATGGATAAACGTTTTACGGTTTTAGTTAGGGATGGACTCGGGCCGGGCGGCCCGGCCCGGTTACTGTTTGAACCAGCCCGGCCCGGTTACTGTTTGAACCGGCCCGGCCCGGGAACCGGTTCGGGGGGCGGTTCGGGTCGGCCTGGCCCGGTTACTGTGCGGTTCGGGCCCGGGCCCTTTGATTGGCGAACTGGCCTGGCTGGTTCGGGCCCGGTTCGGGCCAAATTATTTTTTTTTTTGAATTTTTTTTAAGTTTTTGGGTTGGGCTTGGTATTTTGGTCCATTTGAGGTGGTTTGGGGGTGAGGGGGGAGGGTTGGGGGTTAATTAGGTAAAGCCAAAAAAAAAAAAAAAAAATAGAACTGAGGCCCGGCCCGGCCCGGCCCTGGGATTACCCGGGCCGGTTCCGGGCCTCCCATTTCTGAACCGAGGCCCGTCCGGGCCCGAACCGGAACCGGTCCACCCATAGTTTTAGTATATGTTTTCGTTGAAACTTGCAAGTAATTTCTGTGCTATATTTTCAACATATCGAATAAATGCTTTTTTACCCTGGGGTCAGGGTAGGGGTGAACTCGGGCCGGTTCCGGTTCAGGCCCGGGCTCGGCCGGGTTTTTATTTGGGAAAGGTGGAACCGGAACCGGCCTGGGTAGCCGGAGGTTCCGGGCCGGGCCGGGCCCAAACTATGGGTGGACTGGTTCCGGTTCGGGCCCGGCCAGGCCTCGGTTCAGAAATGGGAGGCCCGGAACCGGCTGGGCCGGGCCGCCCAGCCTGAGTCCACCCCTAGGTCAAGGGAGGGGGATTGGGGAACCCGGGGGGTAGAGGAGCTAAAACAGCTTCTATGGGGTTTAGAACACAATACCTTTTTATGGGAAAGTGGATTGGCGACCAGTGAGCGGCGCTTCTCCTAGATGTCACATAAGTTTATATCACAATGGCATTTCGGTAAAAGAAATGAAATATTCGAATGTGATTTACGTATGTTACTAAATATAAAAAATTTAATTCTACTACGTAAATATTTATAAAACAAAAAATAAGATAAGAAATTGAATAGAAGATATAAGCAGAGATATTCAATGTTATACTCTTAATACTCAATAAATAAAATATGGATGATTTACATAAGTACATTAATGCTCAATTAACAAAAGTCAGGGCTTCAACTAAAATTACAAAAATGTCACCGATTATACGGTTTACACCATAAAGCTGCCATAGCTGGTAGGTACATTAACTCAAGAAATTGGGCAAGATTCAAATTAAATAAGGTCTAAGCTACCAATCTAATTTGTTTTCTTGGCATCATTGGTTCTAGCTTAAATTCAATAAGTCAAGTAGGTGCCATGAATTTTTTATCAATTAATTATTAAAGCATTACACGCTATAAATGGTTGTAAGAAAATCATACCATGAAATCTGTCTCAACAAGTTTGGTTGCTTCAGTTTGTGCCTTTGTGGTGTTTACTAATTTCAGATAGTACAGTTTCAAACTGAATCATATGAGCCATTGGCATTGATCTTAGATATTGTTTCTAATTTTTATAATCAAGGTGTTCACGCCGCTATTAGTTACCAAGATCTATGTATCTCAAGGAACTTGAATATTTGACCTTTATGTCACAAATCACAACCAAAGTTCCTCAATCTTTTCTCTTACAAAAATGGACAAGACTACAAGGGGTTATTAGTGGTATTGACTTTGATCCTTGTATGAGTGGGATTGAGATTTCTCCCGTTCAGCAGAGTGCCTTGCGGTCAGGGACGGATCCAGGATTTCAAGTCAAGGGGGCGATTTTTTTTTTCCCGTTAGTATAGGGGGTGAAAAAAAAACCCACTAGTGTAGCGAGGCGACTTTTTCCGCTTGTGTAGCAGAGCGATTTTTTTCGCTAGCGTAGGACTGTGGCTAATTTTCATTCATAAAAGTCCATCAGCGATATTTAAATCTATTACATTCTACGTTTAAAAAATGGAAAAAATTTAATCTTATAATTGTGAGTGCTCTAAAATTGTATTAATACATTAAAGAGTAATAAATGACAAATCAAATGAAAATTATTTGAAGGTAAAGATTTTAAAAGGCACACATCAATCAAGACTTTTTAAATAACTTATGTCTTGTTTAACCATATGAATCTTATTAGAATAAAGAATTGGTTTTTGAATTTGTCTACAAGGATGTTGTTCGTGGGTCACCTGAAGTTTTCTTGATTTACAATAGTATGTATAAGATTGTTATTTTTAGAATAATATTAAACATATATTTGTATTAATGCTAAAATAAGTTAAAGTTTATTATCTATGCAACAAATTGTTTTTAGAAAGTAATAAGTAAATGAATTGTGTAATTTAATGTCAATAAATATTTATATTTTAGATTCACTTCACATGATCTAAAAACTGTTTAACTAGTGTGTCTGATATTTAATATTGTTTGATATTTTACAAAATTGAGTACTAATTGTCTAATAAAGACAATTCGACGCTACAAAGCTAGAAGTTTATATATAATAGGTATCATATGTCTTAAACAATGGCTTTTGCTATTCTTAAACAATTTAATTTTTTCTTTTCATAGAACTAGTTATTTCACCGGTGCGTTGCACGAGAATTAGGCTTCTCGATCATTTAAGATAACTTTCGAAAGACACATGTTTGGTAAATATTGTTCTAATGTTGCATAAATAATATAATACTCCCTCCGTCCCAATTTATTTTGCAAAGCCAACATTTTTTGGTCAACCAATAATAAAAGTCAATCCTCCCTATTGATAATTAATTCAATTTTTAATAAGTGAAATTTACATATTCATAAACTACATTAAAATCTCTTCAAAGTTGTAAACTCCAAATTAGAATATAATTAAAAATTGACATCTTAATCAAGTGAACAAAACGAAACTGTTTGACCAAGAAAGAATAATTATTTGAAAACCCGTCACAATTTCTAATGCGCTATCAAGAGAACCTTTAAAATTTGAAAACAAACAAAACAAACTTAACGTAACATGAACCATTTTTTATTTAAATAAAACAGTCCCTTTTTCTCTTTGGGAGAATAACTTTTTTAATTTGTGTATGAAATTAGGATCTGACCTTCTCATTTCACAAATATGAACAAAAAAATCCTAAATAAGAGCATTGTTCACAAATGTGTATACCATTCTTTCAATTTCATATTTAAACGATTTCATCGTGTTTGATGAACAAAGGTGAAGGGTGGAACCGTGGAAAGCAGAAGATGGAGATCAGGCGGATGGTGGCGATGAACGGCTGGAAAGGACGGAGGATCGATGTTGAAGAACTTAAATGGATGGATTGGATGGCGATGAAGAACTGCTCAGGTGGACGAACACCGGCGACAATGTGTAGCTTGACATCGACTGGGGTTGATGATTTGTCCTGGATGGATTGCCTGGGTTGTGGATTCCTAGTACTCTCACGCCGAAGAAGAACTGAAGAAAAAGAAATGAAAGAAAAGAAAAATGGAAAATGAAAACCAATAAAAATGTGCCACGTGTTCGGCTGACCTACTGATCTGGTTTAAACAGGTCACTAGTTCATTTTGAGGAGATACTCTTTGTAATTTAGATTATATTAGAACTACTAATAATTGGGATTTAAACAAGAAGATCATCAATAGTTGTGAGCTTATGATTTTAATGTGAGTTTTTTCTTATATTATTTAGGCAAATGTAATTTCTATTTTCATCATGAAACATTCATTTTAGTTTGATATTACTAATAACTAATAATGATGTAACTTAACCTTCAATTTTATCTAAAATTGAAGTGCAAAATATACTTACTCCATTGAGTGGCGTACGCAGTGAGAGAGTTTGGGTCACTAATGATAAAACCAGTAAATTATTCACCACGGTAGTAAATTGCAAACTAACTTGGTATTAGGTACCACAAATTTAACACATAATCCCATCCTCTGTACTGTGAGTGACCTGTAATAGGTTTTCCCATCCTCTTTTCAACATAATGAATGAAATATGTTAACTAATCACTATATATTTGTAATGATTGAGCCACAAAATTTACGTGCATATTTGTTGAGGACAAATGTAAATTTGCGGTTGGAAAAACGTGTGTTTCATTTCTATGATACATAAAAATTGTTCACTCTCAAAATTGTCATTTTTATCATTGTTGGGCTGAAGCCTCAATATAGTATTAGATCCAAATTCAATTGTTTGTTTTCACACATTTACCATTTAAGATAACCTGTTTAGAGTTTTTCTACCTCCGTCCCAAATTCATTTGTAAAATTGGATTTTTACCATTCACTTAATTAAAATGTCAATTTTTAATCTGACCCTAATTTGGAATTTGAAATTTTGATTTTTTTAATGTAGTTTCTGAATATATGAATTTTAATTATCAAAAATTGAATTAAGTATCAATACAGAGGATTTAACTTTAATATTAGTTGACAAAAAAATGTTGACTTTCCAAATCAATTTGGAACGGAAGGAGCATTATGATTTTATTCACTTGGTGTTTTTAGAACACTACTAAACAGAATAATTAATGGCAATTGTAAAGATTTTGTGAGATTCTTAAGGTGAGTGAATGAAGAAAATTTGTGGGTTCTAAATGGGTGA